TTTGGGAGCAGAAGGCTTTGAAGTTCTCTGGTGCTGGCCAGGGACCTGCCTCCCTTCCTTCCCGCCCTGTGAGGGTGACGGAAAGACCACAGGAAGCACAATGATTCTGAGGGTGGAGAAGGATGTAATAGCCTTTGCAGAGAGGACTTTGCAGCTCTCATTATTCTCTCTCTGGGAGTTAGTAGGTCATTTGCAAAAGGCATGGGAAGAGCAGCTGATGAAAAGGTCTAATAGTTTGGAAAACTGCTTAACCTTATTGCTCTATTTCTGGATTTCCCCCTATGGCCAAGGACTATTGGGATCCTGATTTCCCCGAGAGGTTTCCTGTTTGGGAATGCAGTGAAACCTCTGAAACCTAGAGGAATTGGGGAGAAGGCCAGCCAGAATTAGGGAACAGTCTGAATACTTTTAAAGGACATTCAGATTTATTGTTTTCAAGGATATAGGAGCCCAGATTTAGAAAGAGCCTAGTCCAGCCTCTCACAGAGGCTCCTGCTTCATCCCCCACAGAGTCTCATCTGGGTTTCTCGTGAATACCTCCAAGGACAGAGGCTCTCTATTCTGATAACCTATATTACGCTTAGAAAAGTCTTCTTTTGCCTGAGTTTGGGAAGGTTCTTCTTGACTTCTACAGTTCATATAGAACAGGTAGCTGTTTATTCCCCCATGACCCTTAAATATTTGAAAGCAGTTATCATGCACCAAGTAGTCACAGCATACTCTTCTGTAGGCTGACTGTCCCCAGAATATTCAACCTTTATTTGTGTTACAAATGTAATCAGCTCTGAACAGAAATATAAATGACTATTTCTAAATAGCCTCTAAAACAGCTATATAAATTCAGAACTAAGTGGAACTTAGTTGCCACCTGCACTGGCCTAGTTTAAAGATGAACCTTTGCTCACTTTTAAGGTCCCATGAAGAAAACCAGCTTACTCAGCTTTAGAGAGAAAAAGAGTGAGACAGGCTGAGTTGAGACCAACTTTCTAGCTGTATGGATCCCACTCCAAGCTCTTTCAACTCACCCTGCCTCTCATTATTCATAAGACACCAGCATTTCTCAAGTGCTTAAAAGTGCTTGGGAAGTTAGTTCTCCAGGGCATTTTAAAAATTTCTCCTTCACATTATATTTGCTCTGTAGTGAAGTAGGGATTAGCACAGAGCTGAATTTAGTAGAGGTTAACTGTCAGTGAAAAGTAAGATTCAAAGTGTATTAAACGTCCTTGCTCTCTCTCTGCTGTCAGAAATCATTTCCCGTGTTCTAGAAAGCTATCTCAAAGGGGACAGCACACCACTAGGACCACACATGCCTTCTGTAAGGTCCAGCTATCCATCAGTTTAGCAGAACTGCCCAACTCTAGGACTGAGAATGAATTTCCCAGGATGTAGGGCAGCCTGTGTTTCTGCTTTACCCTGCTGTGCTCATTTTAAAGTTTCATATCCGCTTTCCAATTTGGCCTGATTCTCTGATGAAAAAGGCAAAGCCAAAACTCAGAGAAGCAAACTGTGCACTTTAGCGATGGGTTTCCTGTCTCAGTCCCCAATAACCCTCGAGTCACATGCTTGGACGGGAACATTCCTCCCCACCCCAACCCACAGCAAGCTCCCTCTTCTCTCAACAAGGTATTGCATTTCCAGTTCTTACACTTGCTCTGGCACAGATTATAAGCTGCCTCATGCTGCTTCCTGGTTTGCATGGGTGCTAGGCTCTGTGGCCTTGGGGTTCACATAGACCTGGGTTCTAGTCCTAAGTCTGCAACCAGCCGATCATGTAGATTGGGAAAGTTACTTAACTTTTCTGAACCTTGCTTCCCTATTAGATGAGGACAGTCATGGTCCTTATATCATATGGTTGTAAAGATGACATAGTACCAGCAGATGTCTAACATAGCTTCCAATGTTCAGTAAGATTTCATAAAAGTATCTGTTCAATATTATTATTATGCTCCAGAAGGCAGAGCCTTAAACTTACACTTTTTCCACACCGCACACAGCAGGTGCTTTGTAACTACCCCTGACTGATTCTGATCTAGTCTCCATTTGGCAGTAAGTTCATTATAAGAAACATTCTAAGTATCACCTAAGAACAGTCTCTATCCCACGCTCCCTTTTCCCCAGATTCTTTCTGCCATTAACTACATTAGCAGGGAGGCCCACCCTGTCCTGCCACTGTTCACACCTGTCAGCTTGCATCTCCGGATAAAGTTCTCATTTGACAGACTCTAAGAACTTGCTGTCCAGGCCAAAAAAACAAAACAAAACACAAAAGCCCTACGTGATGACGAACCCAACACAAACCTCAGGTAACCCATCAGCAAAGAGAGGGACAAAGTATTACTGACAAGGTGCTGCCCCGCAAAAGAAACAAGGCAACAACAAGAGAGGTAGAAAGCAAGGAAGCAAGGGATTAGGAGGTACCTCGAATATTCTTGCTCATCAAGATCCTTAAAGCTGAGCACAGGTTTTGAATGTAAAGTATTTCTAAAGTTTGGCCTGAATATGGCTAAACTCCTCTTCTACTGGGAATCCAAATTAACACTTGTAGCTGAATTTTTAACAGAAATTATGTCAGATACTCCTTTAGCCAAGAGGATGTACATAACATTGACATTGCTTATGAATGATATTTATTGTCCATGGGACTTATAAATGATAACAGACAAGTTTCCAACTTCTTTTTTTTTTTTAATAAGACCACAGGAAATTTCTACCTGGCGTGGTTTACGATTCCTGGAACATAGTAAGGAGTTAATGCATCTCCTCCCAGCTTCCCTAAATGCTGAAGATATCCTAGTAGATTCCTGCTGAGAAGAAAGGAACCATCCTTTCTCGTACCCCTACTGTATATTGTTACTTATTCCTTGAATTTGGTTTTAAGGCCCCAAGAGGAAAAAAAAAAAAGCATCTGCTGAAATGAATTTATTTATGCTACAACCTCAGAACAAAACTTTCACAATTGTAGGTGAGGACAGAGTTCATGCCGATGCGGTGGCGAGAACACAGCAGTTCCTGGAATGGCAGTTGGGTTCCCTGGCTTGAGTCCTTGACTGCTTACCTTGGGCAGGTCATTCCCCCTCCACTGGCTTTCAGTCTCATCAGGTGTCAAATGATTTCTATGGGCACTTCCACATCCCAGATCCCATGAGGCTACTGGGAGTGTGAAGATTAGGTGGAGAAGCTGCCCCAATCTCTGGATATGGGGCCCAGGGCAGTAGAAAGAGAATGTGATAAGAGTTACAAAAACCCTTGGAGAAAAAGTGAAAGTGTTGAATGACACACACACTCCAATTTGCCGTGGCATGTCCCCAGACATAGGCGCCTGACATGCTCCTGAGAGTTCAGTGCTGGCCCAGACACCCCACGGCCGAGCTGACAGGAAGCAGAGAAGGCCATTGCTTTTCTGTTTGGGGACCTTGGCTGGGACAGAAGGGAAGAGAGGATTGGAGTCAGCTTCAGAAGCCAATGAAATGGCAATGAAACCTGGAGGCTGATCCTCTCCAGGCTGGTGTTGCCAAGGGGGACGATCCACTCCATCAGACCTAGGCCAAGCTCTGGCTCACACACACAGGCAAAAATAGAAAGGGGCTGGGAGAAGAAATGTGTTTACTTTTGTGATTTCCCCTTATGCGCCTCTTAATACTGTTATAATCTCTCCACAAACAGGCAGTCATGGCCCACAGTCCTCCTCTATTGATAAAGCCCTCCTCAATAATTCCTGTATAGTTCTAAAGCCTTCTTAAGGTCTCCTGGTCACCCTCCGAGAAGCTGGAAAGTGAGTTTAGGAGGCAGCATGATGGGGTGGAAAGAGCACTGGTATCAGGTCTGTCAGTGACTATGAAAACTCTTCCTGAGGCACTTGAATTAGACAGAATCTAAAAATCTGTTTACTGGCCGGGCACGGTGGCTCACACCACTCTGAGAGACTGAGGTGGATGGATTGCTTGAGCTCAAGAGTCTGAGACCAGCCTGAGCAAGAGCAAGACTGCATCCCTACTAAAAATAAGAAAACTGAGGCAAGTGGGTTCACTTGAGCCCAAGAGTTTGAGGTTGCTGTGAGCTATCATAATACCATGGCACTCTACCCATGGTGACAGAGTAAGACTCTGTCTCAAAAAAACCCCAAAAAATCTGTTTACATTTTTAAAGTATGTATCAGTGTCTCTCAACCAGGGGCTATTCACTGCCACGGGGGGAATTTGGCAATACCTGGAGACAATTTTGGTTGTTATTACTGAGAGGGTGCAATTGGCATTACTTGGTAGAGGCCAGGGATGGTAGTAAACATCCAATGTTGCATGGAGCAGCCCCCCACAACAGGCAGCTATCTGGTCCCACCTGCTAACCGTGCTGAGGTTGAGAAACCTTGCTTTAGACTGAAGTGAAGAGAATCAACAGAGAGGAAAAAAAGGGGATAGAAGGGAAGGAAAAGCAGGGGTCCAGGACCTGTTTCTAGATCACGAGGTCTGTGTCAGTTATGTGTTTTCCAGCCTTTCTTCCTATGACCAATACCCTTTTATTTTTCCTTGGAATTACAAGGCATGTTTGAGCAGCTTTTTCACAAGAACATCTTCCTTATCCTTAAAATGCCAAGTCCTGATCCAACACAAAGAGCTCCACTAAAAGATATGACAAAGATATAAATATAAGCAGTTACGAAACAAGCAGAACTGAAAGGTGGGTGGTGGGGGCGCAGGGAGGGACAAAACATATGCCTGTAACTCCATTTCTGTGAGTCAGTGTTTCTGCACTAACAACAGAGAACAACAACTGTGGGGCGGGCTGTACCGACAGCAGGCAGAACTGATTTGGGACACAAACGCCAGGAGAAACTCAGGTCTGCAGTGGCAGATTCAAAGGCAAATGAAAGAGTTAAGCAATCAGCGCAGGTCATTCTTTGTATCATTCCACATTAAGCCATCGGGCAGCTATTACAAATAGTTACCTGTGGTTTCCAGTGGGGGAGCAACAACACTCCGGTCAAGGGGTTTTGGAGAAACAGGTGCAATGCAGACATGGTTAAACAATTTATTTACTGTAAACATTAGACTTTGCTCAGCAAAACAACTGAAGCTGCCCCTCAAATCCCTGCCTACAACACCCCGTTTGAGCAAACAAGAGGAGCGGGGGAGAGTCCATGTTCACAGATGAGAGGTCCAAGATACTCAAGAGCCTCAAGTCCGAGGGTGCAGGAAGGAATATCTCCTTCAGATACAAGCAGCAATATATTACCCCTAATACTTCACCAGTGAGGTAGATACATGGAAAAGACATCACAACACAGCAGACCCAGGGCCACGAGGACTCAAACTCTTTAGACATAAACTTACAAGTTCTGTGCAAAGAGGAACTGAACTGTACAAGAAACAATCACTCAAATACATTTTCTGGGTTTCTTTTTACAGCTTAGAAAAATAAAAAAAAAAAAAGGCAGAAGGACGCCCTTCCTCCTGCATATCTCTATACAATTTTATTCTAAATCTATTACACTCAAGTTAAATAGTCTATTTAGTGTTCTGTTGGGTTGGGGGAATCTTAGAATGTAGAAAAACTGCTTTATGGCAGCGAGTCATTTGTGCTACAGTTTTTCCCTTGCGAATCAATGCTATCATTAGGCACAGTACCTTGACAGTTCACAAAGTCTCCCGTGCCTGGGGCCTCCTCACACAGCAGTTCGCTTTCTTTCTCCTGTTCCAGGTGATAGGCACTCTGCTCCCCTGAGTAGTCACTTTTGCCATTGCTGTTGTTGGAGTAGCCATTCCCATAGGCCTTCAGAGAAGACCTGCGTAGGCACAGCAGCTCCTGGAAGGCAATCCTGAAATCTGGGCTCCGGCAGTAGATAAGGGGATTGAAAGCAGAATTGACATAGCCCACCCAGTTCAGGAGGATGTAAACTTCCTTAGGGATGAGGTTGTCCTGGATCACATGCACAATGTTGACGATGAAGAAGGGCAGCCAGCAGAGGGTGAAAGTGCCCATGATGATGCCTAATGTCTTGAGGGCTTTGTGTTCCTTCAAGCAGAACTTAGAGCTCCTGCGGAGTCCATGCCCACTTCGCCCATCCTGCTCAACCTGGCTGAGGTTGTGTGCATGGAAGCGGCCCTCAGACCTGTCAATCTTCTGGAGCTGCCTTTTGGCCACCCGGAAGACCCTGGAGTAGACAAAGACCATGATTACCAGAGGCACGTAGAAAGACACAATGGAAGAGGCAATGGCATAGGCTTGGTTCGTAAAGAAGTCACAGCAGGTCTCCTTGGCATAGCAGTTGATGGCCTCCTGGTGGGTGGCCCGGTACCAGTGCATCTGGATGGGCAGGAAGGAGGTAAGGCCTGACACAATCCACACCATCAGAATGACCACCCGGGCCTTATTCTTGGTCAGCAGGCTCTGGTACTTGAAGGGTGATGTGATGGCAAAGTAGCGATCCACTGCGATCACGCACAGGGTCTCAATGCTGGCCGTGACGCACAGCACATCAATGGAAGTCCAAAACTCGCACCAGAAGTTGCCAAAAGTCCACATTTTCATGATGATATGGCTGGCCCCAAAGGGGACCACAGCCAGGCCCATGACCAGGTCAGCACAGGCCAGAGAAGTGATGAAGTAATTGGTGACTGTCTGCAGACGCTCAAACCTGGCAATGGCAGTGATGACCAGCACATTACCAAACACAATGGCCAGGACGATGAGTGACATGACGATACCCATGCCCACCACCCAAGCCTCGTTCCGTTCCTGTGTTACATCGTGGTCCGGCGCGTGGCTTCCGTTGGGTGCCAGCAAGAAGACGGTGTCATTCCCGGGCTGCCCCATGGCGCGCTGGCTGGCAGGTGAGCGCACTGGCTGCCGGCGCCTCAGCGGGCAGACCTCCGGCGGGGCGCTGCGGGCCGCGAGCGGACGCCTGGAATCCTCATTCAGCCGCCGGGGGGTAGGTGCAGTGGGGGCGCGTTCTGCCCTCTCAGCTTGCGGGGTGCTCTGGGCTCGCTGTGCCCGCCGGTTCCAGCCTGCACTCTGGAGAAGCCGCGTTGGAGTGCGCTCTGCCCGTTATGTGCACAGGACTTTAGGGGACCTGCCTTCCCGATGACATAGAGAAACTTTTGTCCAATGCGGCGCCGGCAACCCCGAAGGGGAGCGGCACTCCTCCTTTCCCTCCCCTCCCCTGGCCCGCCCCGCTCCTGGGGCTGACCTGGGCGGGGCCCAGCTGCTCCCTGGCGGGCGGGCCACCACCTCCTCCCAGCTACCCTGCCTGGCCCCAGAGGGCTAAAGCTGGGGCGGACGAGCTTACTAGCCAGCCCGGGAGCTCTTGGCTCTTCTGTGACTGCTACCTGTCTGCCCTGGGAGCCTGTGTGGCCTGAGGTCTCAGGGCATAGCACAGCATACATACTCTCCCCTTCATTTGGAAATAAAGAAGAGAGTGCCCACCGGGCGCGTACATACAGGCACATGTGCACCCTGGCAGACATGCTCAGACTTATACGGAACCACAGCCACTGAGACACACCCGCCAGGCGCACTGACATGCACACTCGCGCGCGCTCACGCAGAACCCGACAGGCGCAAAGTCACCCCTGTCCAACACCGAGGCGCGGCCAGAAACAAACACAGAAGCACTCAGAAACACAGAGGCATGGTGACACAAGCAGAAAGAAGTAAACACGTACAGATATTAACTCGGAGGTATGCAGAGAGACGTAACAAATCCCCTTCACCCAAGCACTCCTAAACGCCGGCAGCGGGCGGCGGCCCCCCTCCTGCTAACCCGGTATATTCCTTTTCAAATATTTGGCAAGATCACAGGAGGTGACTTCAACAGCTGCCGATTTCCTCAGCACGCTCACTGTCAAGTACGTTTGGTGCCCTCCTTGGGAATTTGCAGGCATGGAGAAAGATAATTTTACCCTTTGGATTTCATTGGGAGCTGGGGTATGCATATAGGTATTTTGGGACTCAGGAGGAGGAAAGAAACTTGTAAGCTTTTGTTTTTAATTCTTCCGGGTGTGGCATCATTCATTATCTGTTGGACTGGAGATGCATTGAAAATGGGATAATTTTCCTTCTAAGCACAATTTCTGTAGTAACCCTGTTGCAACTAAAATACAAAATCCTTTCGTCTGCTGGAGTTCGCTAATCTATTGCATTGAACCGTGTGAAATTGCTTCTGGTTGTCTATGACTCGCAAACATGGCAATTTCATAGGGTTCAGGTTACTGAGAATGTGAACATTAAGAACATTTTGAAACTATAGAAAGCAAAAGATAATTCTTTCTTAAAAAAAAAAAGTAAAAGACCAAGCCTTAAAACTAAGGTCTTTGTTCATAAAATACTATCCTTTGCATTTGGCATATGACTTTACTGCTAAAAAGAAATTCATTATTAGGGTATGATTTCTCAAGTATTAGTGGCGTCTTTGAAAAACTGAAAGCATTTCATACAGAGTAACTAAACATACTTTGTAGGTTACATAATAATGTAACAATGCTAACATTTAGGGAACAGTCTGCTATGTACTTTTCATGCATTATTCTATTTAATCCTTCCCACAGTCCCATGGGGAGGGGGGAGAGCTATTCTTAGCTTAATTCACAAATGGGGCTCAAAGAGGAAAACAGCTTGTCCAGTGGCAATGGGCAGGCAGGGTCAGAAGCTGGATTCGAACCCAAGGGTGCCTGACTGTGGGACCCATCTTTTAATTTTTTTCAATATACTGCATCATTCCATGCAGAAAAGGAGCGGAAGTGGGAGAAGAAACACTACAACTGGAATTGTAATAGCCAGGTTCCTGGCTTACCTGACTTGAAGCTTTCTAGTTTATTTTTGTAGGGAAATCATAAGGATTTCCATAAAGAAATCTATTTCTAAAGGAGGAACAGTCACTTTCATGGGTGTGAGTGAGAATCAAATGATATAATAATAAACGTGAAGGTGCTTTTTCACCTATAAATGTCACACCAATATGCATTGTAAATCAAGTTTATATAAAATACAGAGTAATTTAGAATATATTGTTAGTCTTCTCTAGAACAATAGAACTAGAACTAGAACAATAAAATACTTTAGGACAAAAGTAATTTGGGTGTTTACTCTAGAAGTAAAGCTCAGAAACACTATTTAACCTACACGACGTACCTTTCGATTTCTTTCAATAGCAGAGACCATCTTTTTGCAAGACAGTTGCTTTATAAAACAAAACAAATATTTCCCATAAAAGCTATAAATATTAATTAAAGATCTATTATATTCACATAGTTTTCAAAATATACCCACCCCATATTTGTGCTTTCCAAAATTGGCTCTAGTATGATGCATTGTAGGAAGAGGCTGTGTCTGTTATGCAACATTTCTTTAAATACCCATCTACAATGAGCCGTGGAACTAAACCATTTAAAACCTCCTTCCTGTTTGGGAAGCTATGGAATAAATAAGCATATTGTTTAACCTTCCCATAACAAAACAATAACAACAACAACAACAAAAAAGCAGAGAAAACTCATGTAGGACAAACATTAATTGGTCATTTATTTAGACATATACACAAGATACTTAAAAGTTTAGCTTAATATTTTGGGAAACATTTTTTTTTTAAAAACCCACAACTAACTCAAGAAATGAAAGCTGCTTACGTTGATCAAGAAGCTCTAGGCCTTTGCCCTCCAGCTCTGACACCTGGGCACTGCCGTGTCATCACACTGGTTTCAAGATGTTGACTTCTCACCAAGAGCCTTTCCTTCTGAACTCATTTTAGAATTTTAGGGTTAGAGAAAGTTAGGTGGGGAAAGGGTATACACCAAACAATTTAGTATATTGCTCCCAGTTTGCCAATGAGGAAACCGAAATGAAAAAAATGAGAAGTGTTCATCTAAGATGGGAGGGCAAATTAGGAGTCCAGCTCTGTCTCCTGGCCTCACAAGTTTTTGTTACCCAACACGGATATTTCATTATCAGGCAGCGGAGTGTGAGTAGAGCTTCTCACTGTGTTTCTGACCTTAGGGAGTTAATGCTTGAGTTGAACTGGAAAGTTCTTAGTAGACTAAATACACCTTTATCTGATGGAAGAAAAACCAGGCTCTTTATAATGTCTAATTACATATTTTGTCAATCCCTTAAGACACTGATTTGTCATTTCCTGCCTGCCAAACCGGAAAAAAACTCCACATTTGGATTTACCTAATGAATGTTTATATAGGAGAAAAGCTCCCTGGTGCCAGAGGATGCCCTTGCCCCAACAGCTGGACAGGTTAGGAGAATCTTATCTTGGGTGGTGGCTTAGACAAGAGTCCTTTCACCTTTACTATCACCAGCCTGTCAAATATCCATAGATTTCTTTCTAAATGATGGCTTGCAATGCTTGTCATTAATATTTCCGTGTGACATTATCTCATTAAACTTAAATGAACTGAAAGAGATTGAAAGCATGTAAAGTATTTAGCGTGTTGTCCTGAAAAAGAGATAGCTTACTGTTATTTTATTTTTCAATTGAAATTTATGTGTAGAATGCATATTTTTCTTTTCAGTAGCGTGCAAGTACCCTTGGAACATGGATGAGTAGCTTATTTTTACTTTGAATTGATTTGAAAAATAATTTTAAAAAAGGAACTAAATTTGGTTCCTTAGAAAGAATGATTCTGAAAGAATGATTCTCACCATTATGAGATGCCTGTGGATTTTGAATGAAGCATCTCACAATCTAGTTAGCTTCTTACACAATGCACTCACTAAAACTCTCAGAGAGCCATCTTTAGTGAAGGTGACCTCACCAGCCCCTTTTGTAGATGTATATTTCTCTGACTATCTAGATAGTGACCTAGAATCTATCTTCTTACTTCTACCCATGGATCTTAAGTCTGCCCCCTTGAGGCCACTCAAAACAAGTCTCTTTTCTCTTCAGGGACTGTCCTTGAGCTTTGTGGGAGAATCCCTTCAAGTTCTCCTGAGCTTTCCCCTCTTCAGGTTAAATATTCCTTGTTCTCTTGGGGTTAGTGTCCCCTCTGCCATCACAAGAACCCTCTTTTATTCATGCCTGGGCTTGTCGAGGTCTAAACTTAACATCAATACCTGGAAAGATCCTAGAACAAGTCATCAAACAATCCATTTTCAATCACCTTGGCAACCATAAAGTAGAGCAGAACAACCAGCAAAGCTTTCCAAACAACTGATTATACCAGATGAATTTAATTTCCTGCTATGCTAGAGTTTTATGAGACATGCTAATAAATTCTCCACATCTTAGAGGCACTGAGCAAAGGGAGATGACATTAAATTAAAGCAGGGGAGACTTCGGCTGGCTTACAAAGGACTCCTTGGCCTGAAAGAAATCAGTCATTCAAAGGCGCTAACCTCTTCCAGTTTTTCCCAGTTGGGATAGTATAAGAGAATTAAACCCTACAGAAAATTATTTGAGTGACTATTCTTATTAGTTCTTCCAAGGATAGGGCATAGACTCTTCATTTCCTAGGAAAGGAAGAGAGAAATTAAGTCATGGCACACAATGCAATGGTTGCCTTAGGGCACAGAGCTTAATTCTCTTGCTGAATCTGGGAGGGATTGCGTGGAGTCTCATTCAGGTATAGGAATGGACAGTGTGTGATGATGAATGCATGTGATGCAATATATGTGTGTGATGGAAGCAGTGTGGTGCAGAGGAGAGTGGATAAATGGGGATTAGGAGACCTAGGTTCTAGTCCCAGAATCCCTCTCATGTCCTGGGTAACTTCAAATAACTCACGTTCTTGGGGCCCCAATCTTCATCTATGAAATGGGAAGTTGGGCTTGGTGCCATTCAAATGGCCTCTCTGTTCTAAAATGAACAAACCTGGAGTGGGAAGGAAGTGCCTTGAGGGCCATTGAGGAGATGAGTTCCTGACGCTGAAGAGCTCCTGTGCATTTAGCAAGCAGAAATTGCCAATACCGTATAAAAACAACTTGAGTATGGTTCCCCTGCCCCTGCATTTTGGTGATTCACATTTCATCATCATGATTTCTGCTATTCTCAGTAGTAGTAATGCTATGATTTTCTAAACTACTGACTCGCGTTTGAAACTCAAATACA